CTATTGTGGCTGTGTATAACCGATCAACACTCAAGGTGTTTACTGAGGGCCAGGCACTACAGTGATGTGTCGCTTAATGAGGAGGATATGTTATGAGAAATGAGTCGTCAGGCAATTTCATCATTGTGCGAACATCATAGAGCGTACTTACAAAAACCTAGATGGCATAGCCTACTACACACCAAAGCTATATGGTACTTTCTTATGGGACCACAATTGTATTTGCCACCTATCATTGATCAAAATGTCATTATGTAGCACATGACAGTATTCGTAAGTTCTTTACATACAGTAAGCCAATTAATCCTCTTACTTATTATTTGCCCTCATTTTACAGATGAAAAATCTGAGGCATTGAGAGGTTAAGTAACTTGCCCAAGGAAACAAAGCTAGTAAGTGGTGAAGCCAGGATTTCAAATACAGTCTCTGCTTCTAACCACTAAGCTTATGTCTTGGCTATATTTTTATTTACAATGACGAATACAGCTTTCTTCAGCACTTTACATTTATCCCCATTAAATTTTTCAGTCTACTTCTAAACCCAGTACTCTAATTTATCAAAATATTTGAAAGGCTGATTATGTTATACAGACTATTAGCTATTGTTTTAGTTTCTACTGTGGTGTAACAAACTATCCCAAAACTTAGTGGTATAAAATAATTTTAATGTTTTTATATTTTATTATGCCCACTGGTTTACTGGGTCAAGAATTCAGACAGGATACAGCAGACATGACTTGTCTTTGCTCCATTCTACATGGGGCCTCAGGGGACAAGATTTGATGGCTGGGGGTGCCTTGATGCTGGGGGCTAAAATCAGATAGACATCTTCACTCACAAGCCAGTCACTTGATGCTGGATGGTGCCTGGGACTTCAGCTGGGGCTGTTGACTGGAGCAGCAGTCTCCCAATGTAACCTGGGCTTCCTCACAACATGGAGGCCTTAGGTTGCATTTCTTACATGGTAGCTCCAAAAAGCACAGTATCTCACTGGACAAAGCAGAGTCTGCATTTTCTTTTATGATCTAGCACTAGAAGTTGCACAGCATCACTTCCACCATACCCTATTGGTGAAAGTAGTCACAATCCCACCTAGACTCAAGGAGAGGGGCATAAATCCCACCTCTTGACAGAAGATGGAGGGTCGCATTATAGAAGAGCACATGGGATGGAGATGGTGATGCGGCTGTCTTTATTCAAAGCTATTCTCCACATGTTTGTACTATGTAATATGCTGGTTGTTCTTTATTTTCACCCCCATCTCCCAACTGCCACCCATGTATTCTCCAAGCCCTAGGAGGCTGACCCCTATGGATGACGTCATCTGAGCAGTGGGGGCTACAAGGAGGAGATCCAAGAGCAGGAGAAGAGGAGCTCAGAGAACTTAGACCCCATTTCCTCCCTGCTCTGGCACCACATTTCTGGCAGTGGCACATTTCTAGCTACATCTCTCCGTAAATACAGCTCATGCCCAATACAGGCACACAACAGGAACTAAATAGAGATGGTTCAGAAAACAAATGTGAAAAATTAATAACCAGACTCCCAATATCTTATTCTAAATATCTGACAGAATTGTTGAATAGTACAATTATGTCCCTCCATCGCTACACTGAATTTCTGGATTGACAGAGACCCAGTATATAGAGGAGCTGGATGTCTCAACAACTATTTCCTATTATTCTTTCAAAAATAACCTTTTCCACAAAAATATGAGTGATTCTTTCAAAAGCCTTATTCAAATAAACATGTTCGTTGTTACTTTTCTGGTTTACCACAAAAACAATCTTAGTTTTCCATCATTTTTATAAAACATGATCCCCTTCTTGTAAAAGTGTTTAGAAACAAAATACTAAATAGTTCTATAGCTTTGATAGCTTGGCTGAAGACTGAAATTAAGCCTACTGGTCTATACCTTCCAGAATTTCCTTTTTGCCTATTATTTTAAAAAAGAATATTCACTTATCTCTGACTTTTGGGCTCCATTCCTGGATTTCATGACTTCTCAAAGATGGCTAGTGGTGATGAGGATAATTACATCTGTAAATTCCCTGATTATCCCAGATGATATAGACCACATTTTATGGTCCTGAATACCTTTAACAAGGTCAATAATAAGAGCTTTCATATACTGAGTACCAGAGAAGCACCTCAGTGTTTTGCTGTGACCTAGTTACCTATGCTGTTTCAACTGCTGTGTCTTCTATACATTACAGTATTTAATAACAATAAAGGAAATTTATTTTAATATATTATTTTCCCCACAAAAGGAGAGCCTTTTCCTTTAAATGTAGAGAAAAGTTCCCCCTTTCTCTAGCTAAATTTTTTGCAAGCCTCCTCTCATTTTGGCCTAGTGCTAACACTATTCTTACACTGTTACAATTTTTATCCTTTTTCTTTTTTCGAATCATCAGTTATGTTCTCCTACCTTCCAACATCTATACCTGTTCTTTTAAGTCAATATCCTTTGCTTCCCTGTGGTGTCTTGAGATTTGGCATCATTTTCTCCTCACTGGATTACGTGAAAACTCAGAACAATTCTTTCTTTGTCTTACTCTCCATCTCTTTTGATTTATATCACCATTTAGAGTTTCTGGACCCCCACCTGGACTCGGAGACCGTGATAGCAAGAACTGAATCTAGCATTTCTTTTTTTCCAAAGACTCCTTAGCACAGCATCTTACACAAAAATATTTAACATGTATTTTCCAGGTACTTGTAGTAAACTTTGGGTAGAAAAGGAATAATGATATGTCAAAGATCCTACTCTTCAAAAAGGTTCCAGATGGGGGCATGGTATATACTCACAAATAATCTAAAGGGAATAAGGGACTACAATTGTAAATGTAAACGGAATATGAAAGTGGTCGATCTCAAGGTACTAAATGGTAACATTATTATACTTCAGAAGTAACTAGTGAAACAGCCCTAGGGTAGGCCGACCAGTGGTCGAGATCTTCAGAGGAACAGGCAAGAAAGGGAGTGGAAAGGGAGAGGACTTTCTTAACTTTGCTTGTCTGATTGTGGTTCACAGTTGAAAAATTTGACTTACTGAAATATAAGCCAGCAGGTAATTTAAAATTTTTCCAACTATTCTTTTCAAACTTTAACCAATATTATATCTTTACCTTAATCTATATGGCCAATTTCTATAGAAGTGGTTCTCAACTTTTTCTAAGCTTTCAATACATGTAGTCATACAACACTAACAAGCAAGGTGGATCCAGGTGTATGGGGCTGAAGCTTACATCCTCTTACAAAGAACACAAAATCACAAACACAAAATTAGGCGGAAAAGCAAATTTTTATTTAGAAAGAGAAAAGAAATCTCAACAACTGATTGGAGCCATGGACATCTAGATTCCTTTCTTCTGAGATAGCTTTAGGCAATTTACCAGAAAAGCGTACTTAGAAATATCTCTTCTGGTTGCAACCTGTCATTCCCTTCCCACCTAGAATATCTACAACTCCCTAGGTTTCCAGAGGCCTAGCAAACGAACAGCTGAAGCTTAAATTTCATTAGCTTCACCTTAGATCCGCCTTTGACAACAGTGGCTCATGAAAACAGTGATTCTTAATGGGAACTGGAAGACTTAGAATCTGGGGAAAGAGAAACCCCATGACAAATTTAAAACAATCCCAGATGATTCTGATACACAACTGCCACTCCCAACACTCTCCCTGCCCCCATGCTGGAAGAGTCACAAGGCAAAGCCATAAACTAATTTTCACAGACTCACAGTATCTTACGAGCCAACGTAAAGAACTGGCCAATTGTCCTTGATCTCAACATAACGTGTGTGGAACATAAAAAGGCAGTGTTAACCTTTTACAAGTGAACATAAAATAATTCCATTGTTTTACAATTTAAACACATTGAAAGGCCAAAAAACTTTATCAAGAACTTAAAACTGATACTCTGAACATCTAGAATATAACTGTGCCTACATGTTATTTAATCCTAAAGAAAAAAAAAAAGAGAGAGTTTCACATATTCCTCTTTGGAGTATGCTTGTTCACTTTCTAACTTCAGTTCGCTCTCCCAGAAAAAAGCAGTGGTTTAAGTATGTTGCTTTACCTAACGCCTCAAGGTAACATTTAACTACTGCACAGGCTTCTTAGTAATTAATACAATGTTCTCATCTCAACTCGGGTCTTCTATCAGCAGCAACGTGAGAAACTGGAGTGACATGTAACTGCCTCGCAAGGAAGGTATTTTTCTTTTCCAAAAAGAAATTACAACCACCAGGGTACACGCACAAGTCTACCACTAAGCCGAATCAATTTCTCTCCAACTATACTGTAAATTAAGAGGGCCCTTTGGTCCTAAATTTCCCCGGGGAGGAGAAAAACGAAAGCGGCTGGCTACGCGTTGGGTGGTAGCAGCTGACTATCTGAAAAATCCTGCGCTCCCCAGCGGAGGAGCTTCCTGCTGGACACGGGGACCGTTTCTCCTGAAGAGGGGATCCCCTTGCACCTATTCCCACTGGGCTTGAAACTCACCTCGGGTGTCACCCAAGTCTCAAATCCACAACCAGCAACAACACTAAATCAAGAATAATTTCTCTAGACTCCGGAGATCTCTCTCCCAGAGTTCAGGGCTGGCTGCGCCCAAAAAAGAAGCTGCTAGGGGCGGGGGCACCTTCAGGCCACCGCCTCCCGGGTTTGGGCACTGTCCCGGGGGATGTCCCCGCCAGAGAAGAAAAGAGGAGAAAAAGGAAAAGAAAACCCGCAACTTTGCAGACTCCACGAAGCCACAGCCCTGCCCGACGGAAGGTCAAAGTGCAGAGGAGGGAGCGGCCGCCGTCCGAGACCGGCCGGGACGCAGCCCCGGGTACCGCGAGCTGCCAGGCGGGATCGGGCGGCCAGGGGAGACCCCACCCACCTCCAGCGCGGATCCTCGGCCGGGGCAGGGCGAGCTCGCCGGGGCAACTGTCGCACAGCCCTGCCAACTCCCGGAGTTGACTTGGAACTTTCCCGGGACGCGCCTCCGCCCTCACCTTACTGAACACCTCCAGGTCGTCCTCGTCCTCGTCCAGATCCAGCACCTCGGCCTGCAGCAGGGCCGACGAGCCGCTGCTGCCCGGGACGGGGCCGCCGTCCCCCGGGCTCTCCCCGCCGGCGCCCCCCTCCGGGAGGCCCGAGGAGAGCGCCTGAGATGCCCGGCGCTCGCCGTCCATCCCGAGAGTGCGCGCCTGGCCGGCCGCCGCCGCCAGCCGGGCTCTCCCGAGCGTGCCCATTGGCTCCTGCGCATCCCGCGCCTCCCGGGCCGGCCCTGCTCCAGCCCCTCGCCAGCTGCGCAGACGCGGAACTGCCGGCGAGAGCGTGGGGCCCGGCTCATCCCCACCTGGCCCGGGGCCCGCTGGAGACGCAGCAGGGGGACGCTCGGCCTCCGGCTAGCGTGGGGAAAGGGACGCTGTCCCCTGGAGGAAAGCCGGGGAGTCGAAGGTAGGAGGAGGGCGTCCTCGCACTGACCTGGCTAGGGGGCTTTCGAGCGACGGTTTCTGCGGGGCGGGGATCTGGGCACAGCGACAGAGCAAACCATCAACTTCAGGGAATCCACAGCGGGGCTGGAAGGCAGCCGACCCAGCCCGCCTAGAGGAAAAGCCAATACTGTGTTTCCTGTATTTTAACGGTTGCCTTTCTTCTCGGTTGTAGTTTTCGAGTCCATCTTTTACTAAGGCTAATGCAAAAATAAAAACCATGAAAAGCTCCTCCGTTTTGTAATTGATTTTTGACCCCGTGACCGGACTGTGGTCATTTCACCGTCAAGCCAGGGACGTTGGATTTAAAAACTATTTTCAGTCAATTTCAAGTGTATCTTTACTCCTCAAAGTCTTCCTGAGGTTAATGAGCAAGAATGTTACTAAAAGCAGGACTGGACATTGCCACCAAGAAATAATCTTTAATTTTTGCAACGCCAATGCAAAGCTGTAATTATTTAGTTCATGGCTTACTGTTAAAAAAAAAACCTAAATTCCAAAAATAATGAAAAATTGAATGCAAATTGATATATTTTGGAACTATCTTCAGGTTTTATCATTTACTTCCCTCAGCCCCAGCTGTTTTCTTCCATCGGCGTTGGAAAGAATGCCTGAGAAGTTTGCACATAGCCCCGGGGGAGGCTAGTTCAGACTTGATTTCTAAAACCTCTCCTGGTGACGTGTTTAGCCCAATGTTTAAAATTTTTTAACTTAAAAAACATAAAAGATGTATGTAAGATATTTAGGGAAATAAAGAATTTCTCTATTCTGATTAGAGGACAAGGCCTTAATAGTATACTCCCTCTTAACCATTCAAATGTACCTCTCATTGGTTTCAGTTCATATACGCACGTCTTCAGTCGGGCTGGTCTCGCTGCCCTGTGAATATACTGTCTCCTTCCTATGCTTTATGCTTCCTGTACCCAAAATGCCAGCTCCTGCCCATACTTCAGGAAATAACTATAGTCCCCTCTCTTTCAGAAAGACTTTTCAAATGGCATAGTCTCTTCACAATTTAGCACTTAATTTTATTCTCTCTTATAGATTGTATTTATTTCGTGTAAATGCCTTACATTCCTTGTAAACTATAACGTTTTAGGGTTAGGGATCCCATTATTTATTAATAAACTACAGCATCAGACGTACTCACTTAAAAAGGCTCTCTGCTAAGGTCTATAGGGAACACAAGTTATTAAAAGACTGTTTTTTTCTCCTCCAAGCTCATTTTGGCTAGTAAGGAACATTCAAAGTTTTCTAATTACAGTCTGAACCAGGAAATTCTTAAGAATATTATGACTCACAGAATTGCCAGAAAGCACAGACAATAGGTTCAGAAAATGGGCAGAACAAACCAAGACTACACACCTTGGATCACGCCAAAACCATGCCACAGAACTAATGGTGCAGACATTCCTGCCACAGTTGCTGACAGATGGATGCCACGCCACCTCCACTGCTGCCGTTGGCACTGATGCCACTGGACTCTAGGTGCTGTCACTAACATCATTACCGCAGCTGCCTCTGAGAACTGCCTCTGCTATTACTGCCACATAAACGCCCCACAGTCCTGTTTCTCAATGTTAATAGTTCTGGTTTCAAAACGCTGAAGGGTAGATCTGCTTGGCCCCCCTGGTGAAGTCCCACAGAGATTTTTAAGGCAAAGAATTTTCTAAACATAGAAAGGCCATATTGATGCTGGTCAGCCAAAAAAAGGAAATCCCTACTATAATTTACTGCTTTGGCTGCCCGACATTAATAGCACGTTTCTTGACATATTTTCTTTTTTTCCGCCATTCCTGCTGAATATAGTTTAGCTATGTCTCAAGCACCTGGGAATATAGTCCCCAGCTCCCCAGAGGAAGAAAACCCAAAGCTACTAAAAATTGGTGCAGCTCCAAGTCTGGTATGTCTATTCCTTCTGCCATTCTGCTGCAATCCTATTGATATTTTGCAACTTATGGACTAAATTTTTGAATTTAATTACCAACATGCATTGCCTATTTATTCAGTGGCATGAAAAATCCTCAGTTGCCATATAACAGTCTCAGCTTTCCATTAAATGGCATTATTGCTGGGTTCTTGAATGGAAGAGTTCTTATTTGGGTACTAAAGCTTCTAAACCAGCATGGTCCAAAACTTTAAGAACAGGTATAATATTAAGAGGAACCCTACCCTGTCCTGTCCCTTGGTTCCTGGACTCTTATTCTGATTATAGGAGAAATAGTACGATACGTTAATTTTTGTTTCTGAGAAAATATATCTTGTCAAAAGCTTCCTTTCCAGGTGGACTCTCCTGAGACCATAACTGAGTCATCCGTAAAGCCAGCTGTTTCTGGTAATGGGATTCATGATAAGACAAGTCACACCATGGGTGTTACCCAATGACTTCTTTTTTTTTTTTCCAAAGAAGATTAGCCCTGAGCTAAGATCTGCCACCAATTCTCCTCTTTTTGCTGAGGAAGACTGGCCCTGAGCTAACATCCATGCCCATCTTCCTCTATTTTACGTGGGACGCCTGCCACAGCATGGCTTTACATGCAGTGCATGGGTCCACACACGGGATCCGAACCGGCTAACCCCAGGCCCCTGAAGCAGAACATGCGAACTTAACTGCTTCACCATCAGGCCAGCCCCTGACTTTACTTCTTTTGCTGGAGGATAATTTAATTGGTTAGAAAAAAATGTTATGTGTGAAATCTGATGTGAAATGAACTAGTCAGTAAGTTCACGGATGATTGTGTTAGGAGAAACTTGCTGAGCAAGAAACGTAAACCCAATGTATCTTTTCCACTAAGAACAAATCATGGCAGCCTCCAGATTGTGTGGCAGGGAGAGGACCAAGAGTATTTGCTGCTGTGGGAAGCTGAGCAGTTAGCCATGGAAGTAGCCAGTTCTCCTTTAGTGAGAGGGAAATCCGTTGAACTGATACATAGCATAAATCCCTACCAACACGGCCACTTGGTATGTAAGGCCATGGAACAAGCCCAGGAGTGCCTGGGAAAGCAGTAGGATTAGCATATACAGAACAAGAATTCTTGTCAAACTTACTGTTTGATCATAAAAATTCATGAAATGGGACTTTTTGGAAAGCACTACTATGGGCTACAAATATGCTTTTATTCTGGGACTATTGCAAGAGGCCCATCCTACATTTTCCCACACCTTGACCCCTAGATCCTACCTTGTCCTTCTAAGTCCCATCCCATCAAACCTTTAGCCCATATCCTTAAAATATAGAATCTTCATCCTCCCCCTCTCTTTTGAAGCATAGTGGACATTGATATGTACCATGGGGAGTATTTCTCTCTTCCACTGCCCTTTTCCATTAGCAGTACACTTCTACATGATTCCAGCATGTGATATAAAACCATCTGTAAACCAGATTTGAATTTTTTTTTTAGGAAGATTAGCCCTGAGCTAACATCCGCTGCCAATCCTCCTCTGTTTGCTGAGGAAGACTGGCCCTGAGCTAACATCCATGCCCATCTTCCTCTACTTTATATGTGGGACACCTGCTACAGCATGACTTGATGAGCAGTGCATAGGTCCGCACCCGGGATCCAAACTGGCAAATCTCAGGCCACCAAAGCAGAGTGTGCAAACTTGATCACTACACCACCTGGCTGGCCCCCGAAATTTGAATGTTTAACCCCCTAGTTAGCTATTCAGATGGAACTCTCTATGAGATTGTAAGAATATGCCTTTTGGGAGCAAGAGCCAAATGTTCGTGCAGTGAATGCTTTTAGGACCATTTTCATATATACCATTTCCACACAAGCATGGTTTGCTGAAGGCTTATCCAATTTTAAGATTTTTTTGATACTAGAGCACCTGTTTTATGGTGAGCTGCTCAGGTCACATGCTCAGGTATTCAGTCTTTGCCAAAACCCCACAGCAAGCCAAGGGCTGCTTTCTTAAATGAAGAAAAGAGAGTATGTGTTACTTTACAACTTTAGTGTTTTTGATTCTCTTTCAGAACTTATCACAGGTCCCAATAAGAGAACATCCTTATTTCCACAGGTTCATCAATAATAGTAATAGTAATAGCTAATTGGTACCTACTTTGAGTCAGACGCTGTTATAAGTATATTTTGTATGTTCATGCACTTAAATCTCACTAACACCTTATGATATAGGTGCTACTGTACCATGCCCATTTTATAAATGAGGAAATTGACGAACAGAGAGGTTTGGTAGCTTCCCCAATGTGAGTAGTAAGTTGTAAGTAATTTACTGCTCACTGAAAGGAAGTATTGTATATATTGCCTTAAAAAATAGAAAAGAAGATTTATAAGGATATTTGGAGATTCTCGGTTCTTGGAATTTAGCAGAATATACAATCCTCCCACTAAAAATCCTGACAAACTATAACAAGAATCTTTTAAATGCATGGCTGAGTTTACAAGGAAGTAACTGACTACCAGGGACAGGAAACAAAATAACCTTAAGTGAGAGGATGAGACTAAACATTTGAGCTGATACTCTGCCTGCCCCAGGGTGGAGTGGTAGGATTGGCCTCAGTAATCTAAAAGTTTGAATTTGAATTGTCATGAAAGAAGAAGTGAAAATTTGTAAAATATTCACTCAACAGCAAAACTCTTCTGCATCAGCCTGGTCTCCAAGTGGGAAAAATAACTCCCCCTCAAAATCCCGACCATTGTTCAGGAAGTCACGATTCAAAAAATTACAGGTGTTTCTGGGTTAGTGATATACACCTGGGGTCTTTGGC